AAATCAAGGGGTCTTTGAATACTACAGAGGAAATGTTACTGGAAGGCAAGAACCCTAAAGAGCAGGCATGGCCAATATAATTTCATAAAATGGAATTACTTTGAACTGCTAAAAGCATTCTAGATTTTTTTGTTTGTTTGAGGGTTTGTTTCTAATACCTTAATTTTTTGAGTAATTATTGAAGCCCTTCTCTTCTGTGAGACTGTGAGATTGTTAAATCCTCATCTTGGTGTATCCAAAGGCAGCCACTGGCCCAGAGGAACCAGCCAGAGAGAAAGCATTTCCAGGGCAATGGACTGCCTTTTCTGTTGGGAAACAAAATACTAATTTTTTTTCAAAATGAGGTACCAGAAACCCCTAAAGACTGTCCAAATTCTCACCTGTATTTCAGACAGTTAATTTTCAGCTTGATCTGCAAGTGTCATCCCAGCTGTCAGACTTCACTGCCCTCGGGAAGCGTCTCATGTGACGCCTGGATGAATCCTTGCAGTGTTGGCAGAGAGTATCCCACTTGTGTTCCTCAACAATGCATTCCTTGCTGAAATCTAGTGAACTCCTGAAACAAAGAAGGCTTGTTTCACACTGGCAAGGCTCAGATCAAGTGTTTACATGCTGGGTGTGCAGCTCTCGAACAAACGCTGCCCTGGCCCAAGAGCTTGAGAAGAAGCTGAAGCAACAGGTTTTGGCCACCCTTCTGCAACTGGGGCTACACAGGTGGTTTTCTGAGCCTGCAACAAGGGGTGGAGGGATCCAACATTTTGGAAAGAAGACCTGGCTTTGCCACAGAGAATCATCTAGGCTGGAAAAGCTCTCTAAGACCATGGAGTAAAACTGTTCCCCCAGCACTGCCAAGCCCACCACTAAACCATGTCCCCAAGTGCCACATCTACACAGCTTTTAAATCCCTCTGAGGATGGAGACTCCACCACTGCCCTGGGCAGTTTGTTCCAGCTTGACCATCCCTTTCTGCGAAGAAATTTTCCCTAATATTCACTCTAAAACTCCCCTGGCAAAACAGGAAGGGGTTTCTTCCTTTTGTCCTGTTGCTTCTCGCTGCTTGGGAGAAGAGACTGACCTCCACCTGGTTACAACCTCCTTTCAGGTTGTTGTATTGAGATTAAGTCATGCTCCCTGACACCTCCTTTCATGGGAGAACGGAGCCCTCATATCAACATAACTCAATTTTCATCGTGTCCCATGCAACAAAGCCCTGCTTGAATCCAGGATTAACAGTGGAAGATGGTGACAACTAATGCCAAATGCTTCAGAAACACCTCAGTATCAATCACTAGGAGGAAAGAGAGAACCCATCTCTTTGAAACTGTAGTTCCTGAAAACTGGGGGGAAAAAACCAACCAAGAGAAAAGATGGCAGTCATTCAGACTTTAGAACAGCAGCAGTACAATTAATTTCTACATTACACCCTGTGACTAATCCACTTATCTGAGAAAGAAGAAGAAAAAAAATCTGCTTGGATGGGTACCCAGTAATTCAGGGCAAAAGAGGTGATCCAAGTGTTGTTCTAGGAAATGAAAACAAATCTCGCTCCCAGTGATGCAGATGGGTCACTGATGAGTTTCCTCAGCCAGGAGGGATGTCATTAAAATAGAATTTTTCTGTCATGGTCCTTGAGTCTGAGAGAGAAAATCTGAGATATGCAAGTGCTATGAGAATTTTAGTGTCTCCTCAGTTTTTCCCATTTAGATAAAAACTGCCAAACAGATAAAAAATAAAGTAAAAACCCCATGAAAATAGAATGCTAGAATAGTTTGGATTGCAAGGGACCTTAAAGATCACCTCCTTCCACCCCCTGCCATGGGCAGGGACACCTCCCACCAGCCCAGGTTGCTCCAAGCCCCGTCCAACCTGGCCTTGGATAATTCCAGGGATGAGGCATCCACAGCTTCTCTGGACAACCTGTGCCAGGTTAATAAATAATACATAAAATAATAATTATAAACAAATCTCCACAAATAAATAGTAACATAAATAAATATATGATACATAAACTACCAAAATAACAAAAAGCAAATAAATAAGGAAAATATATTCTGCTGGTAACAAAAGGCATTTAATATGAAGTGTGAAAAAAAAAAAACAACCCTGTTCTTGGGTTTGGAGGTGCTAGAGAGCAAAGGACTGCAATTCTTTTTATGTGGAACTTGTCACAAATGAAAAGAAGTGGCCTGTCAGTCTCAAGAAATGCTGTTTCCTCAGAGTTTATTAAGCACAGTAGAAAACTGAGCAGCCCAGCTGCAGTGCTCTCTGCCTAATTTCCCTTTCAAGGTAGAGCCTAGAACAACCCTCTTAAAATTGGATGGTGAGTTAGTGAGTCTGATGAAGTTAATAAAAAAAAATTAAATTATGAGTCAAGTGAAGTGATCTCCAGAGTGTATTACTTTAGTCATTTAACTGGAATTTGGTACAAGGTTTTGGGCTCAGGCATTAAAGGACTCCTAAGCCTGAACTATGGGCAGAAGATTATGCTTAGCTGCTTAATTCAGCTTGGTGTCAATGAATATCTATGGGATTCTGTGAGAAAGGATGGGGGGAAATTCACAAAAGCAAGAAAAATCATGTTTCTTGCACCTACCCTGCAAACTCTAATCAGCTATTTTAAATTTCAGTCTGCATGAAGATTTGTTATTAACAACTGAAAGATTAATCTACTTGCTATCTATGAGATGCAGAAACAAAACAATGTTTATTTATAGCCAATTATAAATATTTTTCTAGTGGGTTCCTGGGAAGGAGGACTGCAGAGCTGAATTATCTGCTTCATAATCCAAAATTAGAATGGAAAGATAAACAGGACAGCAAAGCACAGGAAATTCAGCAGACAAACAAGCAAACAAGGACTTTGTTTCTGAGCTTTGCTTCAAACCCAGTGCTGGCCAAATAGGTGTCCTTGTAACACTGGGAACAACAAAACTTTGGTAACCCATAGACCCTGTGCAATCATTTCCGAAAAAATTATGTGTGTATTTGAAACCAAATTGGGATTCAAGCACAGCACTGTACCAGCTACCAGGAAGAAAATTAACTCTATCCCAACCAAAACTGGGGTAGTGGTGTAATTCAGTCATTAGGTTGACACTTGTAAGGGATTTTCTCATGATGCTGAAAATGTGTTTAGTTGGTGCTGACATGGTTAGCTGAGTACATACTGCTGGGTGAACAAGTACAGACTACATGTTTCAGTCATGACAGGCACACTAGGAAGAAATTAGGTAATCTAATACCAAAATCATATGGTTATTCAGAGTAAAAAGCTGCCAAATGGTGGATGGTGTGTCTTCTCTGAGGGTGGAGGAGGTGACAACAATGAGCAGCACCCAGAAAGATCATTTAAAAACCACATGCTCCTGATTCTTGACATCCCTGTGCTTGCAGGCACCAACGTCACTATGACATTGGCATAACACTGATCCCAGACAAAATAAACAAAAAACCAAAACAAAAGGCCAAATAAGCTAATTCAGTTTACATTTTGGCTTTAATCCTTTGTATTTTTAACCAGGACATGAAAGGCAAAAATCTCAGGTCTTGCTTTTCATGTTTTCATGCACCGGTGATAAATGTTTATGTGGGATTTGGGTGTTTGCATTTCCAGCATATTTCAGTCTGATTTGTGAATGCACACAAGACATTCTGAAAGGCTGGGTAAGTCCTGAGAAGTCAAACTCCTCACAACCACAAAGCATACAACCATGTAGGGGGAAAAAAAATTAAATAATTTTGTGATCAGCAGCCAAAAGTAATAAAAATTGAAGAAAAACCCTTCTGGAAAGCAGATATGAAATGTCTTTTAACTTTTAAATGATGTTTTGGTAAGACCTGAAATGACTTCTGGCTGAGAATTGATCTCTTGGATGAGATTTATGGTTTTACCTGGTTCAGGATGTGTGTCAGTGGGAAGGCTACCAACTGATTTGACAAGCCTTTATATCAGATTGTGTGATCCAGCAAACATCTTTAACAAAACACGTTTTGAATTTGGATTTATTCACTCTAGAGAAGTGAAAACTTCCTGGGAAAAATATCAGTTTTCAGCTAAAAAGTGCACCTAAAAAGAAAGCAGAGAAAATTCCTCCCCATGACCAGCAGGGATGGGACAAGAACTCCTGGTCTTGGCCAGAGACAGTGAAAACTGAGGACAGACATTGTGGGAAGCCTTTTCTGTGGTGGTGCTGATTTCAATATTGAGTCTCCTTAAGCATGAGAAGGGATTGTTTCAGCAAGGTGGAGAAATGTCTGTTGGTATTATCCATCTTTTTGATGCTTTTGATGCTCTGGTTGAGCAGCAGCCCCTGTGATGAAGGAGGAGGTGGCACAATGACTTCTGTGCTCTGTTGCTTCTTAGCTTTGCAAACACCTCTACCATCAGTGAGGAATCAGAGAGTATTTCAAGGCCTTCCCTGTGTTGTTTGGATTTTTTTTTTCTTTTCCTGCTAAACTTTATTTAATTTTTTACCCACCCTTTACAGTTTAACTCCATTAAAATTCCTTGCTGTAGCTGTGCTGAACACTTACAGAAGACAGAGGTACCTCACACCTCTTCAAAACATCGTGTAGAAGTGTTTCAAAACACAGCTGATGGGCAGAATGTCAAATATTGGAAAGTCAAATACTCCATCACTTGGAATTTTTAATCCAACAGACCACACTCTTCAACACAGTAAAACATTTGTTTGTACTTTAAGCACAGAGACATTAATTTGAAGACAAAATAGATTTATTTCTTTGTAAACATTCCTCCTTTTGATTATAAATTACACTGCTCACAGAACAGATTACTTTTAGCTTGGAAATCTCTGCATTAAATAAGCACAGTCCCATTATTGTTTCACCAAGAAATTTAGCATTAAAAGCAACTTCATAAGCAGAAGACAACTGAGGGAATGAAGTGTTTCTCAAGGAGGCTGGGTGTTTGCTCCCAGCTGACCATCATGGAATCATGGGATCATTTAGGTTAGAAAAGACCTTTAAGATCACCAAGTCCAACCATTAAACTAGCACAGACAAGTCCACCACTAAACCATGTCCCCAGGTGCCATTACACAAGCAGATTGGAACTAATTCAATTCAAGGAGTCATAGCACTAAAATGGGTTATAGGCAATCTCCCCTTTTGGGCAGCCAAAGCAGTTATACATTTTAAATATGCAGGTAAAAATAGTGGGTTTGCAAGGAGCTGATAGCTTCCTTTTTACGGAGAAGTTGGGCAAAAGCAGATTGCAGTGACAGGTGTCAGAAATGCAGAGCTATGGCTTTTCCTGGAGCCTGAAGTCACCTTACAGCAAACGTGAGAGAAATTTATTTGGCTTTAGTAATACTCCCACTCTGAGCAGCCCCTTCTCGGAGTCGAATTGGCCCAACGACCACGTCCACTTTTTCCTCGACAGAACTCGTGTCTCTCTTGGACCTCCTGGTGCAGCCCCGGTAGCAGTGGGAGGAATAGTCCCCAAGCCTACAGACCATCAGCTCACACTTGAGGTACACCGAGGGGTGGCGGCTGATGAACTCAAAGGCATTGAATTTGAACCGAGCAAAGTGGCTGGAAGGGGAGTAGAACGTGGCATAGGAAGAATCTCTGGGACACCTAGAAAGGAACGAAAAAAAAGTAGTTACTCTTCATGGATGCACAGGTGCACATTCCTGCAAAAATACAATAGATTAAAACTGAACTATATCATAGTCAGATACTAAAAACAAAGGTATAAAAATGCAACTTTCACAGCAGATAGACTTTAAAAATATAGACTTATTTAAGTCCTATGAAAGAGCTAGAGCATTGACAAGTCTTCTTTTTTTTTTTTCCCAAGAGGAGGGCAATTAAAGAAGAAGGAAGAGCAGACCCTTACTAATAGCTGTGCTGTGTGAAGCATAAAAAAGTTAGTGTAATGCTTGACCAAGTTTTACTAAAACATTAAACTCCCAGAACTACAGATTCCTGCTGCCAGTTTTCACTGCCTCATTTACGTCACTCCCACTACTTCGAATTTTGCTTATAGGACAAAGACGAAGTAATTGAAAAGAAATGTTAGTAAGGTCTAAATGTAACTTCTTATTTCCAGGCTCGTACTGTTAAAATAAAAAAAATTAAAGACCCCTTTTAGCAGCCTGTTGTAACCAGACTCAGACTGGTTCTGTTCTTTTAAATAAATGCAGATTACGGGTGTGCTTCTAACAGCTTGAATAGAGTTCTTACCCGTCCCTGACTATGTCATAGGCCAGAGTGTGAAAGTCACGAGGATCAGGCGATGCCACACACGTGTCCACAAACACCTTCAGGTTTGGGTCTGAGCTGTGAAGACAAGCTTGAAGGTACAAATTCTGGTTCAAGTCAATGAAGTACGGGGAGTCGCGCACTTGCCGCGAGAACGCCGAGGAATCATAAAAGGTGATGTTCATGTCATATCTTCCAAACTGATATTCATTCACATCCACAGTGTCCTCAGCAGTGTACATCACTTGCATCCATGTCTTCTGCAGCATTTTGCAACTGATATGCAAGTTGATGTTCTTTTTCCTCTTAATTATGTACCCAGAAGATGCAACTTTGATTGTGTTGGAATAGTTGATTGTGTCGTTGTTCTCCTGTTTAATGCGCAATTTAAAATGAGGAATTGCATTTTTGTCACGTTCCATGTAAGTTCTAAGGTTTGATAAGCTTAAATATGCACTTTAAAATTGTGGGTTCGTCTTACACACTTTAAATCAAGGAGCTTGATGTTGGTCTTTTCTGCTCACACATTGTAAATTGTACGTAATTAAGCAGAATTCAGTGGAGAAAAACTCTGTTAAACCCAAGGCAGAACCAACTCATTGAACATCTGTACAAACCCGAGTTGTGTGGAACACAGGCATCCCAATCCTGTGCACTTACAGGACTGCATCTATTTTAAATCACCGAAAATTCACGTAGCTCTCTCCCATGCTTTCCTCCCTAGAAGCTCCTTCTTATTAAGCACAGATATTCCCTAAGGCTCGAAAAGCTAGAACAGTTAGACCTCCAGGTCTCATTGGCCACTGTGGCCTTTCTGTGACTCTTCTCACAGTGGGTTCTGCAATTCAGAGCCCACCCTGGTGCCCATACCTCTCGTGTCGTCCCGCAGCCGTCGTAGGGAATGTTGAACACAACCTCCTGTGGGGTGATGGTTGGTCTGCAGCGATTGTCGTTCAGGGTGACCATCTGGGCTGAGTAGCCTTGGGACTGGAGATAGTCCCTGCTCACCACTGCGTGCATGTAGTCTGGCAGGCACAGAAGGGCTGGCAGAAGGAGGTACAATATATTAGTGACTTCAGGAATTTGTTAATGATTAAAGGTTGTAATCGAGCTAAGTGTTGTTTTCTTAATTTAGAAGTCAGGCAGTTCACACCCCAACCCATGGTGTTTCACACACATCATTCAATTTCCACAAATATTTTAAATTTACACAAATACTTATTTTGCAAACAAAAGCAATAAGTAAGCTTGTCTGTTGAGAAACACCAGCTGAGGACTTACTGGTGTTGTGATCTGCTGGGATGGAGGAGTAGTGAGCCTGAAAGCCTCTGAAGGAGTATCTAGAGTCACTGTGAAAGCGAACGGTCATCATGTTCGAAGAGGACACGTATGTGGGGAAGGAACCAGAGCAAAGTCTCCCAAGAAGTGGGGAAGAGTGTCGAGGCCCATCATAGACTTCAATGTAGTCATCCTGGCATGAGCTGCTTTGCATCCTGGTGAACAAACATCAGCACCTTGTTAAGCCCATTCCAGAAACTCTGATTTCACTGCCTAAGATGGGATAAAATCCTTCAGGAGAGGTTTAATTTGGTTTGTATGTAGCCGTAGCAGAAAATTTTGAGCAAAAAATACCACAGCAATTTAGATTTTGATCTGGTCTTCTGGCAGCCAGATCTTACTGAAAGTATCTTTCAAACTGGGAAGGTTGCCTGTTTTTCAAACCTCTCAAATAAGTTCTGACTTTGTTATTTGTGCAGGGAATCAGTGTTTTTACTTACGCAATATCTCTAAATGTGAGGGTAACACGGAAATTGCTCTCGACTTGGATTTGCCACTCGCAGTCAGCGTTGTTTGGATAACTTCCAGGGTAGTGGGGACTCTGCAGCACCCCAGAGGAATCTGAGATTGAGCCGCCACAGAAAGAAGGTGCTGCAGAAAGAAATGGAAGAGAATTTACTTACAGTAACATCTGCAAAAGTGCACTTGAGCTGTACATCTCACCTGTAGCTGTGGAAAAGCAGGTCCCCTGCTGACTGTGGGTGATATTCCGTGTAAGTCAAATCAAAACAAATATTTGTTTTTTGCTTTAGCTTTGCTTTCGTGTTGGATTTGGAATTCCCTGTCACATTTGTGGTGTCAGACTACCCTCTTCAGGATGGGCTGGAAACACCTTGATGCTTTCTGCTCTAGTCTGTTCTGCTTTTCACAGCCAGGGTCTGATTCTGGGAGGTGTCATGGCAGTCTAAATGGAAGTACCTTCCTCAACAAACACCCTCTTCTCAGTTACTCTGCTGCTTCTCTTTATTCCCCTAAGGACTTTGGAGGGTAAATAAGTTGCAAGTCTTCTAGGAAACTCCATAATTTTATGATCTTAGACTGAAATAAGCACTCCAGGCTGCTGGAGAAAGTCTTAAATATAACTCATTTCTCCTATAAACATAGCTGCAAAAAGCTTTGGTGTTCCTGCCAGCATGAATTACATAATTCTTGTTAAACACACAGATAATCCTATAAGCTCTTCTGTAGGGAGGTGAATACAAGCTTTGAACTTAAATGCTACAAGATGAGACAGGTAGAGGTGGCAACCCATTTTATAGTCCTGCGCAGAGACACACCAGTATAATACATGCCTCCCTGCCTCAGGATTTTGGGATTCACAAACTATTCCAAGCTTGGGATCATCAGCTGTACCCAGACAGTGACTCTTCCTCTGATCAGATTGGACAGGCTCTAGCAAAAATCATTTTCATATTATTTTCAACTGTGAATGGTCAAGCTCTAAATCTGAAATCTACTTTCTAAGGTAAAAATATAAAAGAGACTGTAACAGCTCTAGCAAGCAGAAGTGCCTTAGATTGCACTAAGGAATCACCACACAAGATTAAAGTGATACTGTCACAGAGGCAAAAGGCAAATTAAAAAAAAAATGTGTTAAAGGGAGACAGCCCACAAATTAGAAAGGTGAGAAGAGACACAGAAGAGCATTACCTGATGGAGATGGTGTGGTGGCCACAGGAGCTGTGAGTGTGAAGGAAGAAGAAACACAAGTGAAATGTGTTGCTCATGAGAAAGGTTCTGGGGCACACAGGGCATCAGGATGGGGATCACACAGGGAGGAGGGGATGGGGACACTGGGGCTAGGCTATAAGCTCCACAGGAGACTCAGCTGCCTTCACTGCTCACCCACCTGCACAGATGACACTGGCATCCTCCACGTGCCCACAGTT